AAGAGACGAGTTACAAAGAAGGAAGCAACGATCACCCCCAGCGGCTACTGCCCCATACCTTCACATAGGTTGGATCCCACTGGAGGCCTTCCTTGGCAGCCAGAAACGCCTCATTCCATTTCCCGAGGTTGTAAAACGCGTTGGATTTGTTGCACAGCAGCACAGCCAAGTCCCTCGGGGGAACCCTGTGAGGAAGAACACACTGGTGGTCTGTAAAGCATTCATTACGCAAACCCAGAAGGCCACCATTTTCGGGGCTGGCCACTGCTCTCAGGAAAAAGGTATTGGCAAGAAATATTGATTAGGTCATCCCTCCTAGCCCCCCGGAAAGCATGGAGCATTTACAATGTATAGATCTGTCCTTCCTCACTCCCAAATCTTGGTTCCTATTCTTTAATGATAAATGTTCTTGGGGGACCAGCAGGTGGCATGGTGGTTGGGGGGCTGGACATTCCCACATGGCCGACCATGGTTCGAGTCCTGGACCTGGTGGCTTGCTTTCTCACTTTCCCTCTCTCTCTCTCTGTGTATCTCTCTCTGGTCAAATTAAAATGAATAAATGAATAAGTAAAATTAAAAATAAGTAATTTTTTCTTAAAAAAAAGATAAATGTTCTCAATGTCTTGGTTCTACTCTCACTGAATTCCACAGATCTTTTTTTTTTTTAAATACCATTGGAGTAAACGCTACAAAAATAGTGACCAGTCCTAAGGATGGTAATTCCCAGCCAGTCTTTACAGAGTCCGCACACAGTGTGAACCACTCCGCATGCATGTTCATGCTGAATGGATGCACAGCCCATCCCAGGGCCAGCCTTTCAGAACGTGCCATCTCCATGGCCTGCCCTCAAGGCAGGGCAGTTTGAGATGAGAGACCTGTGCCAGCCTTGGGTCTAGGGGCAGTGAACTCCAAAGTCCTGGTACTCACAGTGTGGACCAAAAGGGAGGCGAGGGCCCTGGGGGAGAGGGGGCAGTTTAAGGTCCTAGTCCCACAGACTTCTCCCTCTGGGGAGTCGCACAGCTGGAGGATGGTCAAAAGGGAAACTTCTAAAGCATGGCAGAGCGGGGTCCCTCTTGCCTCAGTCTAAGAGTAATATAGATGCAAAGCTAGTTCTAAAAGGGGGACCAGTGGCATAATGGTTACATCGCTGGACTCCCACATAGTTGACCATGGTTCGAGTATCAGACTCGGCACCTTAATACTCACGCCAGGCACACGTGCATGCATGCCCAAGATCCTGAGAGGAAAATGGAAGAGAAGGGACTGTGGCATTAGCCATCTCCCCGGGGCAGGGGGTGATAAACAAAGCCCCTTTGTCTCAAAGTGGACCCAGCTCTGCAGGACAATTCATGCTCCAGAGCTCCCTGGGGGATCAGACTGAATCTGGTTATGGCTGGAGCCTTCCCCTTCTCCGACCTGTTTTCCTCAGTCCCTCTCTACCAAGAGCGCACACACAGAACGTCACTTGTACCTGAAACCCTGTGTTAGCTGGCAGCGGTGAGAATGCAAATGGTAGGTGATGGGCAAGGGGAACAGGGTCAGGAAGGTCCCATACAAGGCTACGTGTGAGGGTTCGAGCAGAATTTCCCACCAGGGGCCACACAGTGGTGAGTCACGGAGCTGAGTTCTGAGCACATACAGTGTAGGCCAGGTCACAACCATAACCACTGCATATCACGTCTCTTCCAAGTAAGGAGCTCTCGGCCCAGTGCTGACACAATTCTGATCTCTACTAGGACAAGGCAGAGCAACAAAAACGACAGGCACAAGGCAGTTACACTCGACCCAAGTGAGTCTCGATACCAAGGCGACAGAGGTAGGAAGTGGGAGCCATGTCTCCGCGATTTAATTCAGTACCATTCCTTAGTACCTGTTCGGGCTGTGTACACCCCACAGACACCAGCCTCTGTTCCCTCTACCATGGCTACTCCCAAAGGATGCCTGGGAACTGCTGGGGTTGGGGCTGGGGCAGGGAGGGGAACTCTGGGACATTTCAGGTGGTCCACAGGGTCAAAATATTTTCACAAGGGACCAGCAGTTAGCGTAATGACTATGTCGCTGAACTCCCACGTAGTCTTCCACGGTTCGAGTCCCGGACCCGGTGGTTTAAACTCACGCCGGGCGCGTGTGCATGCGTGCCCAAGATCCCGAGAGGAGAACAGAAGAGAAGGGACTGCGGCGTGGTCATCCCCCCTGGGAGGTGATTTCTCCCTTTCTATCTCTCTGTCTCTGTCTGTCTGGCGAGCGCACGCGCCCTATAACACGAAAACCTCTCAAAAAAAAAAATTTCACAATTGTGGTAGGCTGAATAATGGCCCCTAATAAAGTTACCTTTTATGGAAAAAGGAACCTCTGTGGGTAACAAAAGAAATAGCAAATGTGATTTAATCATACAATTAAAAAGGTTCTTACGACAGAGGGACAACACTGCTACAACGGGAGAAGGTGACATGATGACACAAGGAAAGACTGGAAGGATGAACTTTGGAGATGGAGGAAGAAGCCCCAAGCCAAGGAATACAGGCAGCCACTCCAATCTAAAAGGGCAAGAAAATCGATTCTCCCGTCAGAGCTCCGCCATTTCTTTCCCAGTTCTTTTCAGACCTGTTATCACCTTGATGTTTAGACTCATTAAAGACTGCCAACCTCTAGAATTATCAGAGAAGAAATTCATATTGCATTAAGCCACTAAATTTGGGACAATTTGTCACGGCAGCAATAGAAAATAAATACAAGAATAACACCAAGATACCAAGCACTTTTTCCCACTTATTTTCTCATATGCCTACATGAGAGAGTTTTCGAGAGGCTACATGATATATGCAATTGCAACAAACTGAACACAAAAGCAGATGCTACGAAGCCAAATTTTTTTTTTTTTATTGAGACAGACATAAAGGAGAATTGCAAAAATGTGCCACTCTTGCTATATTTTTTTGTTTGGGAAAATACAGCTATTTTGCATTAAAATAAAACTAATATGTTTATTGATTTTTTAAAATAAATGAATCATTTTAAATTTTTGCTCGGTGTTCAGGTTTAATAAGGATTGCATTGGTAGCTATCACATACATAAACGAAAGCTCTTTGGGGTTCTCCATAATCTTTACACACGTTGTTACTATAACATGTTTGAGAACAGAATTACTAGAAGCTGAAGGGGTAGGGGAAGAGAAAGCGAGCCCGGTGCCCAGTGGTCAGTGCCCTGTACCAGAGACCAAAATGATGTAATGAATAATGTGTAGGTTTGGGGACTTCAGCCTTTGCAGAAGCTCTGTTCCCTTCAGCAGGCAGAAGAGGAAGTTTTGTTATGTTTATCAACAGTCTCTGTGTTTCACTTTCTATTTCCCGGTCAGCACCAATACTCACTGTTCATTTTCTGAGCTGACAAGGCAGAGCAGACAAGTAGGAAGTGAGAGAGAAGAAAACAGAAGCAAGGGGGTATGACGAAAAATAAGAAAACATAAGCAACAGAATCTCCACTTAAAAAAAGGGAGGTGGAAATCCACTTACCCCCACTGATACAACTGCAGAAGAATCTGGATGGCTTCGTCATACCTTCTGATGGCCAAAGAAAAGTTCCCATTCCTAAACACCTGGTTGCCAGATTCTTTCAACAGCTCAGCGTAAGCTGTGGGGTCCATCCTGCCAGAGAAGGAAGGAAAGGCAGCTGCAGGGCCAGCGCAGGCACGGTCACCGTCACCTCCACATCTGCGAGCTGACACTCTGGAGCAGTTTGTTCCGTCTGGCCCCACCCACTTTCAGAGAGGAACCCTGTCAACACCTCTCACCACCAGGGGACCAGGGTCTGACAAGAGCATTGCTTTCTCACTTCTTTTCAGACTTTGGAAGGGACCAGAACAATGCCATTTGCATCTGCTGGAGGCTGCTTCCAGACAGGAGACAACGGAAACCTGGCAGGAAGCGGGCTATTCCTGGAACTGCCTTTAGTGTTACTCCCTCACTGACCTGTCACTTCGTCCCATAGGAAGCACTGTCCCCATCGTTCAGGTGAGGAAATTGAGGCTCAAAGAGATTTCAGTTACTAGTCTAAGGATCTGCTGATGACATTTCCTAGTTTTCACCCCACATTGGACCAACTCTGAGTTTCTGCTGTTGACCATGACAGCACTATGGGCACAACCCAGCTGACAGCCCTGCCACTTTCTCAGATCGTGAAGTGGGAGGCCAGCTGCAGTTCCAAAGGCCTCACTAGAACAGTGACTATGAGGCACCGGACTCTTAAGTCAGAAAACAAAATTCTACCTACACTTTTCCTTCAGTAACACTAAATTACATGGCTTATATTATTTTTAAAGAATTATTTATTTAATTTTATTTATTATTATTGTTATTTTCATTTGCTATAGGACATGTGCACTCACCAGAGAGAGAGAGAAGTGAGAAACCAAGTGGAATGATTGAGGACTCGAACTACCTTCAACCATGGCTTACATTTCTTTTAAAGAATTATTGTATTTAACTTTATGCATGTATGTATGTATGTATTTTAATTTGACCAGAGAGGGACAGAGTATGTGTGTGGGGGGGAGGGGGAGTGAGAAAGCAAGCTGCCAGGTCCAGGACTCGAACCATGGTCCACCATGTGAG